GCTCAAAAAACCAAACAGGTCCAATGCCTGGCCCATATGGACAATCAAACGCATCTGTTTGTTTCTACACTACTATTGAAATTGGACACACCTGTATTGTCAGACTGTTAGGAAAATCAGGTACAGACATAACTCATGGCAATGCTTTGGAATTTTACTTTGAAGATGCCATTAAAATGTCAAGAAAATTAAATGCACACAACACAATGAGAATAAAATACTTTAGCACACTAAGCTGTCATAGTCTCCCTGCCACTGCCACACTAACCACTTGGTATAAGGAAGAGATGCCGATCTACTGCATGCTGTCCTCCAGTGTGACATTCGCATGGTCAGATGAAAATATTGTGATGTTGTGCATGCTTGGAATGACAAAAATAGCAGGAAAAAAATGTCATTGTACCTTTCCAGCAAAACACACCTAAGGTTTCTAAGTCAGTCCAAATTTGGATATAACTGAATATTTAATTCCGTTTAGTGCTCACCAGTAGATTGAACCCAAGGATATCCCAAATTGGTGATATTGAAAAGGAACCATTGTTGGATGAGAGGAAGTTGTTTAATATTTGTCATCATGATTTAGTCAAACTCCATCAACAACTTCCTCTCATGAAGAATTTGAAGTCATTTAGTGCTCACAGATGGACCCTGTTTAGAAAAACAATACTGTAATATAAATCTTTGTTTCTAGCAGGTCTAGCAAGACAAAAAAGAAACTAAGGACAATAAAAAAAACTAGGAGTGCTTAGAGCTCGGTGTTGGAGCAATAATTCTGAGACCCATAGATTAAAGAGCAGATGAAGTCAATCGTGCAATTGCTCCTGCAAGAGAAAGGCCATGCCTAGTGGACCCATGTGCAGCTAGTAATCAGCTCCAAGAGCTCTTGGTGGCAGTCTCTCCAATAGCATTATGGGGTCAACTTACAAAACATGGACTTCAGCAGTTCAGGAAGGCAGCTCACCACCACCTTCTCAAGGGCAATTATAGCAAATAAATATACCAAATATACATGGTTGTTAGAAACAAAGAGAATTTGTGATGCACGAAGAAGGTTATTTGGCACAGTGTGCCTGTGCTGTTGTTGGTTAAGTGATAAATTTTGGCCAGGGCTCCTTCAGCTGGGGTGTATGGATCAGCATAAACAAAGATGGGAATAGCATAAGCATTCTTTTTCATGTAATCTGGTTGTTTTAAGAAAGAGAAAAGAGACCTTCTTGCAATAAATTGCACTTTATTACTTTAGATCAGACTACTGTACATTAAGAATTGTGCAGTTTTAAAGTGAAATTGTAGCTGCTATGATTGTGGTTACTCTATTAAGGACATTGATGTGAGTCAGTCACAACTCATTTCAAAAGGTAAAGATGACACCTAGCCCAGAAAACTATATTATCATGCAAGCCCTTCATGTATTTGCTAAGTTAGTAGAGGTGTTTATTTGTTTATTTTGCAGAGTTTAGGCATCTTTAAACTTTTTCCAGTGGTGTCAATGGAGAAGTAACAAATCAGCTGCATGTTACACATCTGTCCTGATTTTCTTTTCTAACAGTGTCACATTTCAACAGCAGTACAGGAGAGAACAAATGTGTTTGATCTCCCAAATGGCCCAGGGAACTAGGTATCTTTCAGATGAGATATTGAAATGAGGCCCCTCACCCCTCTCAGCTAGATATAAAAGATCCCATTGCACCAATTTGAGGAAGAGAAGGAGAGTTCTTATGAGAGTCCTTGCCAATATTTATCACTCAACCAACAACAGCACAGGCACACTGAGCCAAACAGTCTCCTCCTGTGTCATAAATTCTCTTTGTTTCTAAGAGCAATCTATATTTATATAGCATCTTTGATGTAGTAAAGCAACCCACGGCACATTCAAGAGCATTACCAAACAGACTTGACATATTAGTTTTATTCGCTCACGGGACATGGGCATTGCTGGTTGGGCCCAGGATTTATTTGCCACAATTGCCCTTGAGAAGGTGGTGGTGAGCTGCCCTCTTGAACCGCTGTACTCCAGGTTCTATAAGTAGACCCACAACGCGTTGCAGAGCGAATTGTAGGATTTTAATGGAATGACACTGAAGAAACAGTGACATATTTCCAAGTCAGCATGGTCAGTGGATTAGAAAGGAAATTGCAGGTGGTGATCTTCCAAGAATCTTTAGATTCTGGAGAAGTCCCAGCATACTGGAATATGGGCAATAAGCCTTATTCAGAAAAGAAAGGAGACAAAAACAGTTTACTATAGACCAGTTAGCTTAACATTTGTTGTGGGAAAATGCTGGAGTATATTATAAAGGATAAATTGGCAGAGCATTTAGAAATATATAATATAGCACACATATAGATAGACATGGACAGAAAACAAACATGCAATATTATGGGTGGAGGGAAAGTCTGGGAAAGCAGTTCAGTGGTTCCTGTTCACAGCATTTGCTGAGATGGTTTTCTTATGCTGATCAGAATGCTCCTTCTTGATTTTTTCCTACTCCAGATGTTTTCACTTGTTTACAAGAGCCACGGGATAACTGGTTTCACAATTATAATGGTCCCCTACTTATTCGTTACAAGTCACAGTTTATAGCAATTGCTGAAGAATAATAAACTGTTTTTCTTCAAGCTTAAAGTGTTATTTTCCTGCAGTGAATAGAAACAGCTTCTAATTTTGTGGCGATCTGATGGCTGCTCACTCTCTTGCTCATAGCCCCAAGTTGTTACCTGGGAGCCAATCACATAGTTGTTGGCAGGCAGAAGACTTTTGTCATTGGTCTGTGGACTAGAGACCAATTATCAGTCAGCTTCTTGCTACTGATGAATTGCCATTAGTACAAAGCCCTTGGCTCCAGCTCATCTGCAAACTACACTTCAGCTGTTGCTTAAACAAGCAGTTGTGTAAACTACAGTTACAATGAGTATCACGTTACTTGTTTTCCAAAAAGTGCAGTAACCCCTCAATAATTCTTGATTTTTGAAACAGTTCTTTTCTCATCTAAGTCCACAATCAAAGACACAGAAAAATGAGAAGATTCAGTCTTTACAAATTCAAATTTCACCTTCTGCCATGGTCTGGCATTTGTATGTCTCCGGAACATTATTTTGGATTTCTGGATTACTGGTGTAGTGATGTGACCGCTATGAAACTGCCTTCCCCACAATCTATCCAGGATTTCTCTTGCACCTTTTGTGATCTGTACCGCCTAGAAGGACAGGTGCAGCAGATGCATCAGAACACCATTACCTCCCCTCCAAAACACACACCATCTTGACTTGAACGATACCATTGTTCCCTCAGTATCACTGGGTTAAAATCTGGAAACTTGTTTCCAAACAGCTGTCTGGATTAACCTACACAACATGGACTGTAGCGATTCAAGAAGGCAGCTCACTATCATCTTCTCAATGACAATTAAGAACGGGCAATAAATATACAATTATCCTGCTTCTGCTGATTAATGGGCAGTGGAACACAATGTGCAGCTCAATAGGTTTAACTCTTCTGGCTGCTGCCCTGTTAAAAGAAGTGCATTACTTGCTGAGTAGTTAGTGCCTACTGGGGACGCCTCCGCATAATTTTGCCTCCCAGCACTCATTCCCAGCTTTGTTAAATAGGTCTCCCACTCTCATCCAACAGGGCTTGTCAGACTGACCACAGTGAGATCCTGGGCATGCTTGAATTCAGGCCTATCGCTGAGTACAGCTCCTTGGCCTATCTACAGCATGGACAGCACCAGAATTCTACAATAGCAATGGCACCAGCTACTCATCCCTGGCACTGCTGGAACTGCAAAGATGCTCCAAGAAGAAGAGCAGTGTATCCTGCACTGTGATAGCTCCTGGGCTTTAGGGCAAGAAGGAATCGAGGGGTGAGAGTGGAAGGCCAGGTAGAAAGGAACGAAGGGTAGGAACAGCCTGTCAGGGGGTGGGGGAAGCCCATCACCCCACTTTTCCCAATTTATTTAAAAAAAGCACCTTCTGAATCTTGCCTGCCTCTCATACCCACCCATTTCACAGGGTGAGCTGTGTATTTTTCTGACAGTTGACCTGTTAGTAATTTTGATTGCCCATTAAATGTTTCTTTAAAAATTGCATGCTGGCTCCTGATTTCCACTGTTATACAGATCATGTCAGCAGTGTGTAGGTTAGGAGTGGGCCAGCCACCAATTGTAGACTATGTGCCCTTCACTGAAAACATACCAATTGTGGGCCATAAAATCCAGCACCACCTGTCAGCATGGAGACAAAACCCTGCTCACAACTGAGAAGCTATGTGTATTGATTATAGCCTGGAGTAGCCCAGTTGTCATGATTGACATTGAGAGTTCCATGCCTGTTTTGACAGCACCCTTGAATTGGAGCTTCTGGTGTGCTGCTGGTTTCTTGGTAAGGCCTCCCTACCCACATAGAAGATGTTCATGGATGTGTCAATCTTCCATTCTGTACACATGCTAAAGCCAGCAAAACCTTCTTTACTGGACTAGCATGTTTGCCTTAGAAAGGACTGTTTCACTAGTCTTTTGTCTTGTTAGATTTAAGTTGTCCAGGCTTCACTGCCATAAAGTAATGAGTCAATACACAGGTCTTATAAATAAACATATTGGTTCTGTCGTTCAGTTTTTTTTTAATGCAACTTTTGTTAGAGAGCCAAAGTTGATGGTTGTCTTTCCAATGCTCTTCGAAAAGAGACGAGTTGTCCATCACCATAGATACGAGGAAGCAGAACTTGCTGATCACAGGTGGAAACACTAACCCCTTGTCCTGTAACTCAATTCAGTTACAAAGACACCAAAATGGACAATTCATTCTATCCAATGTTTGTATCACTTTACAAAGGTGCCCAGAAAATTCAGTTTCTTTCAAATTGTCAACTTCAGAATAATGTGAATGAAATAGGTCAGGCAAAGAATCTACCAAAATAACCAATCTTTTATCCTTGCAGATACTGAAGGACCTGCTGTCAATTTCAAATCTAACATGTTCCTTTTGTATTTTCACCTTGGTAGGGTTCAATAGGAGTCACTGGTGTTCCAGGCTTCCACGGACAAAAGGTGAGCATCTGCATATTCAATATCAGGCACTATACAGTCAGGTGCAATCCACCTTTCCCAACCCAGTTAGACTGCTGCAGTGTTAAAATTTTCCTACTAAATTAGGATGAATTGCGTTGTTTGGGAATTCCCAATGCAGTCACAGTATAAGATATGAAATGAATATTCTGTTCTCCTGGACTGTACAACTATCACACGGACCAAACGCTGTTGCTTTTGTGTGGAGTGCCCTTTGCTGTTCTTGGACCAAACATTATGTCAATGATGCTGCTTGGCTATCTGAAGAATTCCTCGCAACAGGATAGTGTCCTTCCCAAACTTAACATAGAAAACCATGTCACTTTAGTTTACAGTAGCAGGAGTGATATTCCTCACACACCTGGAACAGATAATAATACAAGTGATCATGAGAAACACAGTTAGGTTGAAAAGTGAACCATAATGTACTGTCTTTCACTAGATTGGCCCAAGCAAGAAGGAAAGTTAAAGGTTCTACTTCCTGTACAAGGGCCTACCACCATCAGCATCTTAAAACATGTAGCAAAACATTAGAATTTCCTGTGTTTACAACAGTTATAATGCAATGTCACTAGCAGCCCATCTTTGATTTTCCAAGTGAGAGATCACCATATCACCACTGTATACCTCCGAATGTTTACAGGCCTATCCCAGAGCAGCCCCATTCACTTAGAAAGAAGCAGGCCCTTTTCACTGGATTGTGGGCTGACCTGTTGCTGTCCAATCCCAATTGAATGTCAAGGCATACCTGTCAGTGGTGCCCATTTTTCAGAAAAGTTACTAGCTGCCAGGCATCATTTTGATTATACCCTGGGACTTGGGTATCACTGGCAAAACCAGTATCTATTGCCCATTTCTATTATGTGATCTTGGGAATGCTTCCAGCAATATGCGATCAACAGATAAACATTCATGATTGTTCCAGAAATGTAGTTAGCAAATGGAAAAATAACCGTGGTTTGTGTTAGTTAAGGCAAACCACTGAATTATACATCCCTGTCCCGACAAGTGTGGTGATTGGATCAAGTGTATCAAGCTTGGATAAACAAGAACAATCTTATTCCAGGAAGCAATTAGTGATGAGTGGATAATTAGAAAAGAACGGTGTTTATTATCAAAGAACTTTGAAGTTGAGCAATTGACAGTGGTATTAGCCACACTAAGATTCTGTTTCAACACAGTACTGTGCACAGTAAAATCGTTGAAATAGAGATAAAATACTGCAGTTGCTGGAAATCTGGAATTAAAAACAGATACTCAGTTGGTCTCGCAGCATCTGTGAAGAAAGAAACAATTTAATGTTTCAAGTCCAATATGACTATTCTTTAGAAGAAGAAGTTTGACTCAAAATATTAACTCTGATTCTCCCCACACTGCAGTAAGATCATTACAGCGATAGCCTCAATATATTGTGTTTCCAAAGTAACTGAAGATGGAGTTTTCACTTTCATTAACTGTATCTTGGTGTAGTTTAGTTTTGACTCATGAGGCAATAACTTAAACAGATATTTGTGCTGTGATTCCAGTTTTTATGAGGCACTTGTGGTCAATCAATCCCATTGTCGACATGGATCTCATACCATATAAAATAACAAAAATCTATTGTCTGACTTCCATTTATTCCAAAACACAAAACTTGGCAGGATTCTGTAGCAGTAACTGAATATCCATGTCTTTCCATTTTTCTGTTAAGTTGTTCCTTCAATTCTTCTCAACAAAATTTTAAAATGACAGTTACAAAATAAATTCCTTGATTAAGGGCAGCACAGTGGTTAGCACTGCTGCCTCACAGTGCCAGGGACCCGAATATGATTCCAGCCTTGGGTGACTATCTGTGTGGAGTTTGCACACTCTCCCCTTGCCTGTGTGGGTTTCCTCTGGGTGCCCCGGTTTCCTCCCACAGCCTAAAGATGCGCAGGTTAAGTGGATTGGCCAGGCTAAATTGCCCGTAGTGTTCAGGGATGTGCAGCTAGGGGGATTAGGCATGGGAAATGCAGTCTTACAGGGATAGGGTAGGAGGTGGGTCTGGGTGGGGTGATCTTCAGAGGATTGGTGAGAGTCGATGGGCCAAATGTCCTGCTTCCACACTGTAGAGGATTCTATGATTCTCTAATTCTATGAATAATGCTGCGACTTTGTCAGTGCATTTGAAAACAAATTCATTGCCCCACTGTCTCCTTCCTTACCTCAGTAACTGGACAGTCATCATTTAAATGGAGTTCTGGAACGCATTGGGTGGGATTTTAAACTAAACAGACAAAGGCATCATCAGTAGGCCAAGAACTATTGGACACTTCAGCAGTTTTGCAGTGACTCTTAACTTGAGCCACAGCATTAGCTCCCCTGTCTGAGTTCCCCAACCAATCTGGGAGGACAGGCAGGATCACCCACTGCATCTTTCAAAGAAGGGATTTTAACTTAAAGGAACAACGGAACATTACATTACACTGGCTCAGCCACACGTGTAATAGCCACAGAAATAGAGAGAACAGCTGGAAAGCCTGCTCCCAAGATCTCTCACACTTAGCTGGACGTCCTGCTTTGGAGTCTGATGGACTGAAGTGAAATGATCCGACCCAACGATGAAGGAAGTGGACAGCCTCTCCATTTAATCAGGTGTGGATAGAAATAGTAAAGGAAGTCAGCAGCTGAAGTATGGTCCCTTCAATCTAATTTACCAAATGGGACTACTTGCATGCCCAAACAGCATAAGCAGCAAGTGATAGACAGAGATAAGCGATCTCACAACCAATGGATCAGATCTAAGCTCTGCAGTCCTGTCACATCCAGTCGTGAATGGTGGTGGACGATTAAACAACTCACTGGAGGAGGAGGCTCCACAAATATCCCCATCTTCAATGATGGAAGACCCCAGCACGTCAGTGCAAAAGATAAGGCTGAAGCATTCTCAGCAATCTTCAGCCAGAAGCTGCCAAGTAGATGATCCAACTTGGCCTCCTCCAGTGGCTCCCAGCATCACAGATACCAGTCTTGAGCCAATTCGATTCACTCCACATGTTATCATGAAACAGTTAGAGACACTTGGTAGTGCAAAGGCTAGGGGCCCTGACAATATTACAGCAACAGTGCTGAAGACTTGTGCTCCAGAACTTGCCACACAACCTAACCAAGCTGTTCCAGTACAGTTACAGCACAGGCATCTACCCAACAGCTAGGCAATTTTCCTCATAATGTCCTGTACACAAAAAGCAGGACAAATCCAATGTGGCCAATTCCCACCACAAAGGTCTACACATGATCATCAGTAAAGTGATGGAAGGTGCCATCAGCAGTGCTATCAAGCAGCACATGCTTGGCAATAACCTGTCCAGTGATGCTCAGTTTGAGTTCTGCCAGAGCCACTCAGCTCCTGACCACATTACAGCCTTAATTCAAACATGGACAAAAGAGCTGAATTCCAGAGGTGAGGTGAGAGTGACAGCCCTTGACATCAAGGCTGCATTCGACCAAGTGTGACATCAAGGAGTCCTAGCAAACCTGGAATCAATGGGTATTGGGGGAAAACTCTCTGCTGATTGGAGTCATACCTGGCACATGGGGAGATGATTGTGGTTGTTGGATGTCAGTCATCTCAGCTCCAGGACATCTCTGCAGGAGTTCCTCAGGGTAATGTCCTCAGCCCAAACATCTTCAGCTGCTTCATCAATGACCTTCCCTCCATCATAAGGTCAGAAGTGGGGATGTTCTCCGATGATTGCACAATGTTCAGTGCCATCCATGACTCCTCAGATACTGAAGCAGTCCATGTTCAAATGCAACAAGATCTGGACAATATCCAGGCTTGGGCTGACAAGTGGCAAGTGACATACGCGCTACACAAATGACAGGCAATGACCATCACCAATAAGAGACGATCTAAATACATCCCCTTGACATTCAATGGTGTTACCATCACTGAATCCCCCACTATCAACATCGAGGGGTTAACACTGACCAGAAACTCAACTGGACTCACCGCATAAACACAGTGGCTACAAGAGCAGATCTAAGGGTTTGGAATACTACACTGAATAACTCACCTCCTGACTCCCCAAAGCCTGTCCTCCATCTACGAGGAACAAGTCAGGAGTGTGATGGAATATTCCCCACTTGCCTGGATGGGTGCAGCCCCAACATCAAGAAACTTGACACCATCCAGGACAAAGCAACCCTCTTGATTGTCATCACATCCACAAACATCCACTCCCTCCACCACCAATGCTCAGTAGCACCACTGTGTGCCGTCTACAAGATGCACTACAGAAATTCACCAAAGACAGCACCTTCCAAGTCCCTGACTACTTTCATCTAGAAGGACAAGGGCAGCAGGTATGTGGGAACAGCACCACCAGCAAATTCCGTTTGAAGCCACTCACCATCCTGACTTGGAAATTTATCACTGTTCCTTCACTGTTGCTGAATCAAAAAACAGGAACTCCCTCCCTAAGGACATTGTGAGTCAACCCACAGCAGGTGGACTGCAATGGTTCAAGAAGGCAGCTCACCGCCACCTTTTCAAGGGCAACTAGGGACAGGCAATAAGTGCTGGCTCAGCCAATGAAACCCACATCCCACGAGTGAATTTTAAAAATCTGGAAGCAATTCATCAAAATGATCCGGGACCTCAGGAAGGCCAGAAAGGTGAGTGACAGAAACATGTTCAGGCGCCAAGCCCCACAGCCTGACAATTTCTCAGCATTCTCTTGCATCACGCCCCTCATAACACAGCTCAATGTTATACAGTTTGTTTTTTGGGATCCAAAATGTTCGTTGGTTTGCGACACCACTTTACATTGTATTGTGTTGTCGATTTCAGAACCCTTCCTCCCCACACACTCCCTACAATTTTCAACCAGACATCAAGGAATGGAGAAGAATGCTGAATTTTTTCTTACACTGGTGCTTTTAGTCAGAAAAAAGTGGACAGAAAGTCCAGAAGTATTCACTTTGATCATTTCTGTAGAGACAGCATTGCAAACTCAAATTGAACTCAAGTTCAAGGAAGGGATAATTTCTCTTAAGGAAAGATTGAATGAACAAAAATCAAAATAGTTGTCACAAAAACATAGCTAGTGCTCCAGATATTGTAAATGGATTAACCAAATACCACGCCTTGCATGAATGATGTTATGTCCTGTTGTGTCCCATTCTCTGAAAGAGATTAATGATTTTCTTTTCCCAAGCCAGCTAATAACGATACTGCACCTTTATGTAAAGTTCTTTGTGTAAAGGGTTGTTACAAAGCACGTCAGAAAGTGGAGAATCTGACAATTCTTTCAAATACTGCTTGGAGTGTATGAATGTTTTGCTTCTAATTTTAAGGTGGGCAAAAATTGGTGATTTATGTGGGCAATCACAAAGCGACAGGTAAGCAAGTGGATCCACACTGGTAAATCCACAAGAGGTAATTGGTTCTATGAAATTCTGCTGCATTGGAACATGCAACAGCCCTGTCGAAATATTTGCTTTGACTAAATTGAAAATTTTACTCATCGAATCATGAAATCATATAATCATGGTTTTGGACAATCAAGCCCTCCCAATGTGATTTCTTTGCTGTATAGGTCACACAGGACATAATGCACTGAAAATCTAAATTTATTTTTGAGAAATAGTAGGATCTGCCGATGCTGGAGAATCTGAGAGCTGATGTTTCGGGTCGAGACCCTTCTTCAGAAATGAAATTTATTTTTGCTCTGTTCTTACGCAATCATTTGTTTTTCTCCAGGGTGATTCTGGGAAGGATGGTGATCCAGGCCCCAAGGTTAGTCTGCTTTGTAAGAATTCTTCATTGCTTTAAGCACAATGCCCAGAAAATGCCAATGGTCCAAAAGTATCTAATGTACACAATACAGTAGTGTGTAAGGCTATCAGCAGTCGGCTCCACTGAGGCAATCCACATTTTCAAATCCTAATGAAATGATTAATGGCGGCTAAAATACAGTAAGGGTGCTGGCAGTATTATGATTTGTGTGCAATGAGCGAGCATTGGTTCGTCTTCAAAATGCAGTCTACTTTGAAATGTGCAATATTTACAACAAATGTGTCAATGCATTGAAAAACATACTTTCTCTGATAAAATCTTTAAACCATTCGTGCCTTTTTGGCTATTTTGCGTCAATACCTTCATTAGTGTTATAGCACATTGAATTGTTGCTCCCGATGTTGCTGTTTCACTGTCCTTTCAATGATTTTTGAAAAATGTGGGAAAAGATATATACTAATTTACCTTTTCAGATAAAATAATGATTACTGGTTTTGTTGCCGTGGCTAATTAACTTGTTTACATAGGTAAATAGTAACTCACCAAGGCAAGATAAGCAATCAGGATTTTGAGGAAAGTCAAATAAAAAGATAAAGTTCCTGGCTATAAACAGCATTACCTGATGAACTCTTTTTCTCAAGTAATTAACTTGCCTTCCATCTTCAGAAGCTAATTAACATTCTCGGCATTTCCAATACCTTCTATTTTCATTGCAAATTTTGCAGAATTTGATTTTTTTAAAATAATAATTATGCTATAATGCTAGTAGCTTCGATCATTGTTACATTGTCTTCCCTCGTTCTGTCTTCGCTAAGCAGTGATGTGGCAGTCAGCCTCCCATTTAAAGCTGGCAAACACCGCTAGTGACTCAAAACTGCCTGTTGGCCATCTGTGTACCCAAGGAAACTGTAAATAATGAAACTAAAATGGCTCTTGTGTACATCGTGTGGTAAATATTATAATCTGATTGGAATATTGCATGAAATCACCATTAATTAAAATACTTCATGTTATAGTAATTTTTAAGATGGAACTGAGGGTCCTGCTCATGCAGCACATTCTACACATAGCACAAAAGATTGGCAAGATACCAATTCTGGCTCACAACTCATAACACTGTGTAATATATTTTTGCTTTTATTGTTTGAGCATTAAGCACTAACTGGGCAAAATTTAGTTTAAAATGGAATAATATAGACTCACTTTCTGTTAGTGTGCCAGACATTCAGTCCAAAATTCCAGCCTTTGTTTTGTTTAAATAAAGCTGTTTGTCCAGCCATCCTCCATGTTGACAGTCAGATTATCCAAACAGTGCCTATCCTGACTGGATCACAGTCAAAGAATGGGGCCAGCATTGGGCAGAAGTGTGATGTTTCATATCCCCTCTAATGCTTTAATATATCAATGTTTTCCAATGCTTTATACTAACACATCTAATGACCATAGTATTATCACCTCCTTTTTCACTGGGCATTAGGTGTCTATACCTTAGCTGGGCTGCTCCCACTTTACTCAGCTGTTGCCCTTCTTGGTCTCTAGCATCCCTAATTCATCTTTATCCTGGAGTAAGCCTCTGTCACTCTCTTCAGGACTGTAACACTCTTCATTTACACACATGCACACATATATATTTACAGGTTCCTGAATACAGCTTGCTCATTGTTGTCCCTTACTCCTGCTCCATCACCAGCTTCTCCCTGGGCTGTTCTTCTGCTCCACCGTGTTTCTTGTATAGTCGTGCTCCTAAAAGATTGTGGACTCCAAAACAAGAGTGTTGTGAGCAAGGAAGACCCAACAAAACAGCAAAAATCCATAAAGTGCAGTAGAAATTTTTAAAAAGCCTTGAAATGATATTTTGGAGTAATATCACATAAAATGTATATATCTCCTGGATGGAGAGAGGAGTTTAAGATAAACACACAAAACATCACCCTTATCAAACTCAGAAGATACTTTCAAAACCATGGAGATCGATGAATTTGCTATGAGAAATTAATTACTGGTGGAATTTACTTAGACCAAGTATTCCATATATTGTAATTGATATACAGAAGAGAATTGTTCATCAACCTGAAACATTAAGTCTGCTTCAGAGATAGTAGGACCTGCAGATGCTGGAGAATCTGAGATAACAAGGTGTAGAGCTGGATGAACACAGCAGGCCAAGCAGCGTCAGAGGAGCA